CACATTGCTTTAACATTGTAAATATACCAATAAATCATTGCTGTATCTCTCTAAGTGTGTGTGTGTGTGTGTATGTATCGAGTGGTCTTTGTGGAAAAACATGGGTTTTGGGGTATTTTAAAAAATGGATTTGGGATGCTGCTGAAGCAGTCCAGCTGGCACATGGGGTAGTGCCCCCAGGTACCAAGTGGCTGAGCCCCAGAAGCTCTGGAGAGTGAGTAGCCCTGAGTTACTTGCCAGGACAGCTTTTTGTACTGCTGGGGACAGCCCAGGTGCTGGCCCCGGGCTCTGGCTCCCCCTGGCTGCAGATCTGGGAGGAGCCAAGCAGGGTTATTTTGCCCCAAGTGGCACAATTTGCTTCACAACAAAGTGCATGTCTGAGTGTGTGTGCTGAGGCAAAAAGCCCCAGCTCAAATTTGCACCGCTTCTATTTTAGCTGTTGCAAGTGCACGTGCTTGCATGTGTGGACATGCCCTGTAAGGATAGTGAGGGCCCTGGACAGAAGCTAAAACATCAGCCTCTTCGTCACACTCATAAATGTAATGTCTTGCATTTCTACCTTGCTCAAGAAAGCAGTTCCACATGAGAAATAAATACACCCATTTAAGTAACTAGAATGCATTTTTAGCAAATGGAACATGGCAAAATCATCCCAATTATTTCAAAACAGTTATTTCTTGCTTTTGTAGGAAAAAAAGTCCTCAATTATCAGAGGCATCAAAAGGAAGTGTTGTTCTCTGGCCAGCGGTGGTTGTCATTCTTGTGCTCCTCCCCCCCGCCACCATGTTGGCACCCGGAATTATCCCCATACTTGTCCACCATGCTACTGTCAATGTTTACGGTGAATACCAAATTACATCCAATATCCTCTTTAATGGATATGTGTTCCTGACTATTCAGATATTCTTGTGACATTGGCCATGTCTACATGAGAAGCTACTGTGCATTGGTTACTGCACATTTATTTAGTACTTGTATATACAAGTATTGTATAAACAGGTACTAAATAAATGTACAGTAACCTGAGTTACTGCACAGTGACATGAGAGAATGCCTTTTTGTGATGCTACTACACAGTAGCATTGCATCATGGTTTTTGCCATGTGATGCTACTGAGTAGTATCAAGCTTCTGCACAGTCAGTGTCCTAAAGCTGGCCCCCAGGAGTGTTTCTAGCAAAGTAAACCTATGGCTTCTTCACCTCTGACACCTGGCCTTTTGGTCACAGAGCTGCATGGTTATCTGTGGTCCCCCAAAGAGCTATTTTCTGTCTTAACTTCTACAGAGGGACTTTACTTCTTTAAGGGGATAGAGTGCACCTAGAGTCACACAAAGTGAAGTAGGCAGCTTTTATTAAAGAAAAACAAACAACCTTTATTAGCTGAAGTAATACAAGAGAGAGTTCTTGGGCCCAAAGCCCAGACTAAGTCCCAGGCAGTCTCTGTTGGGTAACAGAGACCTGGTTACTATTCTCTCTCAAGTCTCTCAGGCTCCTCTCATCCTGCTTTTCTTTCTCCCCCTCTTGTCTCTGGGAGTATTTTCTTTAGGCAGCCTCTTTGTACTGAGGGTTCAGTGACCTTCCTTGGTACCAAAAACAGCAGGGAGTTTTCTCAGTGCTGAGCCTGAAGTCCACTTGGTGCTATGCTGGGTCTTGTTAAGCAAATAAACCAATTGAGCTCTTGATGGCCCATTCCCCAAAAAGGGTGTTGTTACACATTACAGTTAGGTTGTGCTGAAAAGAGGTGGCATTTAAGTTAGGCTGTTGTCTGAGTAGTTGCACTTTAAGGGTCAATACCTTCTCTGACATGCCCTACTCAAACTTGCCACTGGAGGACTGGAAAGCAGGGGTGTAGCTAGGAGCTGCCAAGCTCCCCCTGTTCACCAGCTCACTGGGTCTCCGGATGATCACTGTCTGTCACAACTTCCTAATAATCTTCAAACTTGAAAAGCTTCTCCTGAAATCATAATTAAATACTGGCCAAAAGAAAACTCAAGGTAATGGTAAGTTTTGGTTTGAAATCCAACAACTTTTCCTTGTAAATAGGTGGCAACTCTAGTGCCTAACTCCATACATCATGTAGCAAGACATTTGCAACTTTGAAATTCAAGTCACCGGTATCAATACTACATGTGTTTTAGATCTAATTGTTTGCTAATTTCACTTCAGGTGTTCACACCTATGGCCGTCCTCACATTTCTGATGCTAAAGAGCAAGCCGATGAACTGTAGAAAATTTCCAGCTACAAAAATTTTTTATTTAGGCTAATTATGACTGCCTCAATTAATAGAAGGAAGAATTCTCACTTCAGGTATTTTTAAAGTCCTTCATCTGCACATCCATACTCAGACTTTCTCTCTTGAGTGTTTGTCTTTTCATAATATGTTATTTCAGTGTTCATTTGCCCTGCAATTTCCCATGCACCAGATGCAAACCTATTTTCTCTGAACTATTTCAGCTGGTATTTCTTTCAAATATAGCAATAAGAAATTGAAACCAATGTCTCAGACAACAGCATTTTGTTCAACAAAGGTGGAACTTCAGTCATTTTATGCCTTTTCTGATGCAAAGACTGTAACTAAATGAGGATACATTGCCAAGAGCTTAGTTCTTTTTCCATTAAATCCATCACTTAGCACCACTGGCTTATGAGTGTTTCATTACCACTGCAGGGTGATTTGTTACTGTACACATTATTGTGTCCAAAGTAGAACTGCTCCATGAACCACTGCAGTTAACACTGGGTACTACAATTTTCAGGCACTGACTGATTGGATGAAAGCAACAGTCAGCACCTTTCAAATCAATACTGTGTGCTTGTCAAGCTTGGCAGAAAACATATGGAAAAAACTATCCTGCATGCAAACAATCATGGAGATACAAAATTGACTTATGATCTAAAAAAACAAAACAAATCAATAAACCTAATCATTGTTATGTACCTATTATGAACAAACAATGATGACGGAGAATGAATGGTACTGTTTTATACTGACAACTAGTGAATTGCCTATGATGGGGGATGGGGCGGGCACAGACGGAGGTGGGGGAAGCTTGCTAACCCTAACACCCACCCTTGTACTGCCACCACCTCCCAGGACTGGGGGGGAGGGGGTGCTGGGGAGAGCTTGCCCCACTATCCCCTCCATCCCCCTCTACCAGAACCCCATGCTGCCACCTCCGAAGAGCAGAGCCGGGGCGTAGCAGGGGGCAAGGCCAGCATCCCCCCCGCTCCATCCCTGCTGTCATGGTGATGTTCCACTGCTTCCGAGGAGCAGGGCGGGGGGGGGAGGCCAACAGTGCTGGCCTTGCCCCCACACTCCATCACCTCTGTCCCTGTCATCATGGCAGTGCTCCACTGGCTGCCACCACCTCCTATCTGTAATGCTCTTGGAGCACTCTGATTGGTTGTTTTAAGTAACCAATTAGAGTGCTCCAAGAGTGTTACAGACAGACAGAAGGACAAAGCCCTTTATTATATTAGAATTATTATATTAGAATTGTCATACAATTGAATAGATCATGAACTAGGTTAGCCAGTTTAAGTGACATATACAATATTATTATCAATGTATATGTTAGATTTATGTTCTTACTACTCTGTAGAGTTGAGTTAACTCAGTCTACAGGAGTTCTCCATGGCTTGAGGCCCAGGCAGTTGCCCTGGTTGTTCACCCCTAAAACCACTGGTGGCTTCTACTTCTGTTTCTCTCTCTGGCTGCAGAAGGATGAAGTTGGAAGTAACTTGATTTTGATCATGTCTGTGTTGTTGCCTCTAAACCATCCATGTAGCTGGTAGAAAAATGAGAATCAGTATTGTGACAAATTTGGAAATGTTTCATAGTTTTATAGTTGTCAGGGTTGGAAGGGACCTTACAGCTCATCAGGTCCAGCTCCCCTGCACTTGGGCAGGAAAGATTGCTGGGATCAGATGTCCCCAGCAAGATGGGCATCAAGGTGCTTTTTGAAGATCACCAGGGTGGATGATTGTACCCCCTCTGGGGGGAGCCTGTTCCAAACCTTTGGCACTTGACTTGTAATGACATTTTTCCTGATGTCTAGCCTAAAGTGATCCTCAATCATCTTGTGCCCATTATTTCTTGTCCTCCCCTGGGCAGATGCTCCCCCAGGCTCTCATGTAGGCCTTTGATATACTTACAGGTTGCCACCAAATCCCCTCCGAGTCTTCTCTTCTCCAGGCCAAACAGTCCCAAGTCTTTCAGTCTCTACTCATATGACCTGGTCTCTAGGCCTCTATTCATGCTCATAGTCCTTGGGTCTTGTTTAGATGTGGTGCTAGCAAGCGTACCACTGCTGATCCTGTAAATGTGTTGTAGATTATTTCTCCCCAGATGGAGCACTTTACATTTCTCCATGTTAAATGACATGTGGTTGAGGTCTGCCCACCTTGTGAGCCTGTCCAGGTTGGTCTGTATTGCCAGCCTGTCTTTGAGTATGACCACACTCTCCCATAGTTTGGTGTCATCAGCAAACTTTGCTGGTTAACTTTTAATACCCAAATCCAAATTGTTGATGAACACATTGGAAAGCTCTGGTCTGAGTTCTGAGTTCTGAGCCCTCCATGGTGGCTATCCTTCAGAATACTGCCTTCTGCTGGCCTGTCTGTAATGGATGCTTTGACAATTTTCTCCAGGATTTTACCAGGGATTGAGGTCAAACTGAGTGGCTTTTAATTTTCCAGGTCCTCCTTTCTCCCTTTCTTAAAGATAGGCACCAGGTTGGCCTTCTTCCCATGTTCTTGGACCTCTCCCGAGTGCCACGAGCCTTCAAATAACTTTGCCAGTGGTCATGCGATGGCATCAGCAAGTTATTTTGGAACTCTTGGCTGTAGTTTATCTGGTCCTGCTGACTTGTAGGTATTTAGCCTTTGTAGGTGCTCCCCACAAGATCTACACCAACTACAGGGGGTGGTCACCCCCACCATGATCACCCTGTATCCTGTCAAGCAGGCTAACACCTTTCAATTGTTTCTGTTCAAAGTAGAAATATTTTCTATTTTATAAAAAAAAAAATGTTTACAAAATATTTTTAGTAAATCATTCAAAATTTTCTCCTCCCCACAAAAAGCCTATAATCTGCAGGGCCTCATCCCCTTACACCAACCTTTTTTCTTTTCCTTTTTCTATTCAGTATCTTTTGAGTGTCTCTAACTTTGTGACACATTTTCATTTTTTTCTTTGATACTCTTTCACTTGCCCAAAGTTGGAAAGTTTGGGAAAGCTACAAAAGTATGAAAAGAGAAAAAGGAAAAGAAAAGTGGAAATAGGAAAAGTATTTTCATTTGGCTGAGTTAATTAATAGGGGAAAGATGAGAGGGAAAAATAGCAAAAAAACCCCAATTTATTTATTTAAAAAATAACATATCAATTAAAAAAGAAACCTTTACTTTCATCTCTTTTTGAAATCTTTCATTTTTTTTTATTAAATAGTGAAAGCAAAAATTTTTTCCAAAATATTTATTTAATTGAAAAGATATTTTATGGTAAAATTTTGTATAATAAAAAAATATTGACTGGATTTATTGCCTGCTTGGATGATAACACAGCTTGTATGATGGTGACTTCTAGATTTAAGATTTACAATGTTTTATGTTAACTACTCATATATGCTTGAAATCTCCCATTTGTAGCTTACATCTTCCATGATTGACCTAGTACAAAGAAGTTATTTTTGAAAGTCTGTAAAATATCCAGTTACCTGCTTTCAGATGCATCCGTTATATTTTAAGGCCTTGTTTTGGCATTGCAAAAACTAGAATCAATGTCACATTTACAATTGTCTAGAAAGAGTGAGACCAGCCAATCTGCAAAACAAGCCAATCTGCAGAACAACCACATTTGTGAACATGGTGTGAAAAAAGAGTATTTATAAGGACAGCTTACTCAAAAATGGGGAATTTTCCTGAAGGAATTTTCACAGGAAAAAAAAAAACCCATCATTTGAATTTTTTCTACTAGATAATAATGGTTTTCCCGACTGTCTTCAAGCTTGTGACATCTTGAAAACAATAAAAAAGTGTTGAAAATATTAGTTTTAATGATAAGCGTGTTATATTTTCTCATTTTTATTTTTGTAAATCTTTTTCATTCTATTTCTAGATGAAAATGGTAAAAAGAGATAGAGAAAAGAGGACATTTCCCCAGAAATTTGAAATGAAGCATTTTGAAAATAAATAACAAGTTCAGACTTTTCATTTACAGTTACTTTGAAAAACCAAAATCCTTCAAAATTGAGATGGTATTTTTCCATGATAAATAATCATGTCTGACTAAATCAATTTTAGGACAAAGAATAAAACAGAAAAAAGCCCTCCCTTTATTTTGTCCGGTTCTAGTTACAAACTTTAGGGACAAATGGTATCATTCAATGTCTGGCCAGAATAGAGGGCATTTTCAGATTGCACGTCCCCACAGAAGTTTGTTCTCCCCCACCGTGCTAGCCCACTCTGTGGACCAGTGTAGATGAGGTTGGGATGCTGAATCTTTTCTACACTTTCTTGAGGGAAACATGTACCCTGGTGCAGTAAGTGGTGCACTGAGGATGGAGCATCTGGACCCTCCTGAGAACAGCCAGTACAACAGAGGCAGGCAATTATTTCAGGCAGAGGGCTGTTTATCGAGTTTTGGCAAGCTGTCGAGGGCCTCACGGGTAGCCCTGACCCTTGAAAGGTGCCCCGCCCCTGCTTACCAGCTTGGGACCAGAATTCCCACCCCAACCTCTGACCATTGCCATCAGAAGTCCCTCCCCTTGTCCATGGAAGTACTCTTTTGGGGAAGATGGTTTGCCATCTTAGGGAAAAAAAACAAATTACATATTAAAAAACAAACACCCATAATAATACATTTTAATTTTTTAAATATTTTTGTCCTGATTTGTGTGTATTTATGCTGTATATGCAGAAGTGATTGCATATTGGGTTTGTGGGGAAGTGGGGATATGTGTGTGTGTGCGTGTGTGTGTGTGTGTGTGTGTGTGTATGGATGTGGGTATGGGAGCCATGTAGTGCACAATGACAAGTGGGCAGGAAAGTGAAGAAAGCAGTAGGAGCATGGGGAGGAGTGGAAGTGAGCGGTATGTGGGAGTGCAGGGCTTGCATCACTATCCCAGGGCCAGCACCAGCAGGGCCCAAAGCAGGATGGTAGGAGCATGCAGTGTGGGCTG